GTCCCAAAAAACGTCAAAAACCCTAACCGGATCATAACCGGCGGTCCCTCAACCGGTCCCTACCGGTCCCGGTCCCGGTCCTCCGTCGGTTACGGGCCAGGCCGGGCCCATTTGGCCATCTCTAATCCCGAATACAATAAGATGAATTAAAACACTATTTCACGACCATCAATAAGACAAAATGTATGAAATAAAATAAGAATATTAGATTTGACATCATTGTCTCAAGTAGTTGTCATTAACAAACTTTAACTATAAATATTGGTGTATGATAAATTAATTATATTAAAATAAAATAAAATGTACTGTGTTGTAACCTCTACGCAAAGAAAGTTGTTTGACAATTGTTGCATAGTTTAATGCAGAATGATTAAGTGGTCAGAATGATTAAAAAGTTCTCATGAAATAGTGCAAAATGAAATATAATTGTTTATAATGGAATCAAGGTGTTGAATGGTTAAGTAAGACCTCTGATACAAAATCATTCAGAGGGTTTTAGAAACATTAAGATGCAGACATTTTTTTTGTCAAACAAGATTCACCTATTAACGATTCAGATGTTCCCTCTTAATGAAACCATTAAAAGGTAAACAAACAACCCTTTAATCTTAAAAACATAATATTATAGTGCAAGAGTAGATTCAACTTTTTTGTCGAGAAGTTGCACTTTTAAGGTAAATGAAAGACCCTTAAAATCATCTGATTGAGTGTTTGCATAGGCCTTGCTAATGCCTCCATAGGTCTGCCTCTGATTAGTGTTTTCGATAAAACAATTTAAATTATAAAGTTTAATAATTTTCTTTTTTGTTTATAATATGTTTATTTAAAATGCTTATTAATTTATTTCGCTGTGGTACCGGTAATAAGGAATTTTTTGTGTTTAAATGGAAAAAAAGAAATACTTACACCGGTTTGGCACCGGTAATAAGAAGTTTTTGATCAGTTATTCCATTATAACTTATTTGAAACAACTTATTAGCTTTGAAAACAAATTACCTTTTTACCCTTTTCTTTAACCTTAAAAACCTATTTGTTCGTTCTATTCATCTCATCTGCACGATTTCTCTCATCGATCTCCATCGGTTCCTCCTTATTGGTCGATTCTCCACCGGTTTCTCCATCATCGTTTTAAGGGGGTGTTTGAGATTGCTTATAAGAACAACTTATTGACTTATTCCGGTGTGACACCTGTAATAAGCATTTTTGAGTGTTTGGATAAACAACTACACCGGTAATAAGAAGATTTTGAAGAAGTTAAACACTCTTGACTTATAATAAATTAATAAATATTTTTATAAAAAAACATAAATTATTTCAAATAAGCAATCTCAAACACTCCTTCAATTAAGACTTTTAAGCATCCATTACGTATTTAAAATCGAATGGACCATTTCTTATTTAAATGCTTTGACAGCTTTATTGGTTTGTCTCTATCTTCAAATTTTGCAATATTTAATTTTTCAAATGATTTAATAAAATATGTCTGAAATTTAATCCAAATAAATCAAACATTAAAAGACGTGATGATAATTAAATAAAATTTAAATAAATATAATAATGCAAATAATTATTACAATAGCTCAAGAATAATAAAATAATAATTAATTAAAAAATATTTCATAATTATAATTGTCTATAATTAAGAAAAAAAACATAAATCCTTCGCAACCAATTAATAATATTTTAATAATTTGGGATCACGTGAGAGCAACATGTTTTTGTAAGATCCGTAAAACTATTTTTCTACATTTGAAATCAGATTTTTTTACCTTCACATTATTTTGCTGTGAAGTTTCAAGTGTGAAAAAATGATTTTATAAGTCTCACAAAAACAGTTTAGTCTCACATGAACCCAACCCGTGAAAAACATATAAAGTTAAACAAGTATTTTATTACATATAAAGTTAAACAAGTATTTTATTACACACATAACAGACATAACTTGAAACCAAAATAAATCGAAAAGCCTTCACACAAATCTTTATTCGGGAAGCGGCACCTAACCGTCGAACCACCTTAATCAGCTAGGGTTGGACCCACCTTCGAACCAGCATAGCCAGCAGCCGGGGTCGAACCTACAGTACCGAACCCAGCCTTGAAGCAAGACACCAACGAGAACCATAAAGTAGCACGAACTTTCTTCCATCTTTTCTTAGCCAAAACAACCCTCCCTTCCCGGCCATTGCTGACCCTAGTCGCTGCACCATTGGTTCCATCTTCTGGAAATGGTTCGAACACAAAGTCCCCGGCTAGAATAACTAGACCATCTTCTTCATAATCTCGAACAGAAATATCATTCTCAGACATCTGCGGTATATAGCAATCGGAATCGGAGAATGGCATGTAGTTGTTCGACAACTGAGACGTGGATCCAACCGATCCATAACCATCGGGCTACAAAAAGTATACCATAATTTGCAACCGGTAAGAGTTTCGAATTATCACGGTTATATCTTGGTCGCGAAATGAAACATACCATGTTTTCAATTCGGCATCTTTTTGCGTGATGCACCATCGTGTCCCAACTTTTGCTGTTGACACCGCATATCTACATTTCAAAAATCTCACATTTCGATAAGCTAGCTTGTTTTTTGAGTTTACTCAAAAATCTCCTTTTCGTTAGCAACAAATCAACGACAAAAGTCAACTAACTATGGGTCAAATGTTGATTTTGACGGGGTCCGTCAATGATCTGCCACTGATCCGTCGGTGATCATTGGCGGAAACATCTGTAGGTGAAATCCTTTTGGTGAAGGTATATTGTTTAGTAGCTTTTTGAAACACTGATTCTAGTAGCGTTTCAATAAGCTATAGGGTTTTTTTTTTTTTCCAATTTCTTTCATTATTATCATTTAGAGGTTGTTTGTTTATCTCTTAATAGTTTCATTAAGAGGCAATATCTCTGAATCGTTAAGAGGTAAATCTTGTTTGATAAAAAAAATCTGTCTCTTAATGGTTCTAAAATCCTCTGAATGATTTTGTATCCTAGATCTCCTATAACCATTAAGAGCCCTAATTTCATTGTACACAATTACCAAATAATTATATTTCATTTTGCATTATATCATGAGAGCCTCTGAATCACTCTAACGACTTAATCATACTACACCAAACCATTCAACAATTGCCAAAGAGTCCCTTAGTTTATTGCAACTTTTTATCAGCCAACATGAGTAGTTTTTACGGTTAACAGCTAACTTATCATCTAATTTGTCAAAGAGATAGTTAAAATGTCATATACGATTAACGGTTTCGGGAGGAAAGATTAGAACTTCAGTTACCTCTTTGAGTGCCCGAGGGTTCGAATCGTGCATATCAAGAAAATCGCTCACGGTCAAGACACCTTCGTTCTCGAGACATTTTATGGTCCGGCCTTTTTTCCCGATATTCTTCAAACGCCACAGCTTATCAGTAGCCAATAATTGTCTTGAATCCTTAGATTCATTCCGGCGATCCTTGACCTCAAACGGAACGGTTATACCCTCTTGGACCTCAAGCGGACAATCGACAACCATCGCTCCTATTCGAAATTTATCCTTTTTAAGCGGTTTGCCATCGTGTTTGATTCGGATTGCGCCCACCGTCCCGATCCCATCCTTGAGAACGACAGTAAGATCACCCAAAAGAAGATTTTTCTTTTTTCCCCAGTTGGTGATGATCTTGTCTTGGAAATCTTGAGGAGTCCAAACGCCGCCGTGTCTGGTGGTGGAGTCACCGAAGTTTGCCGGAAGAAGTACTAAATTCACCGTTGCAGAAGCTGCCGGTCCGGTGGTTACTTGTTGGTTGGTTTGACCGTCAACCAAGATAACTCTAATGGACTCAATACGTCCTCCATCACTACCGGCGGCTTTTCCAGTGATCCTTGTTCTGGTGTACACCGGCGAAGTGATTTCATCGGGAAATATGAGTTTCAAGTGTACTGGTTTTGAACTTGCTGATGCTTCGTTGTCCTGAAATCAATTCTTTCAATAAATGACCAAACCCTAAATCAAAATATAGGTTTATAAACTGTAATAAATATTTAATTAAAAAAAACCATAATAAAGAAATTATTATTTTTGTTTAAAATATTATTTTCTGTTTGGTAGTTGCTAAATAGTTTGGTGCAAAACAATTAAGTGATCAAAATGAGTAAGAGACTCTCATGACATAATGCAAAATGAAATATAATTATTTGGTAATTGTTTACAATGAAATTAGGACGTTGAATGATTAAGAAAGACCTAAGATGTAAAATCATTCAAATGATTTTAGAACTATTAAGAGGTAGATTTTTTTTTTGTCAAACAATATTCATCTCTTAACGATTTAGAGAGTGTCTCTTAATGGAATCATTTCTAAAAGATAACAATATATTAAAATCAACCAAGAAGAAATAATTTTAGCGTCACAAAATAAACGAACCAAACAAAAACCCACAAATTAAACGTATAAAAAGGATGGAGGTCACAACCGAATCCCGGCAAAAAAAACCCGTGTACCCACGTCAGACACTCAATCAAAGGAAAACGAGACATGAAAAACAACCAACTGACTAAAACCAACTAACAAGAAAAGACAGCCGAGTTATAACACCACAACGCCTAAGATCCAGAAAAAGCTTTAATCAGCACACTGAGGCTACAATCAGAACAAAAAATAAGTTGGATATCGATCAGATCAACTAGTCTCCACCGTCACAAAATTAAAAACTATACAAAAATTGGACTATTTTTTTTCAAAATTTTCAATTTAAAAAAAAATTTAAACCAAAAACAAAATCGTTACTAAAGGGGTGTCTGGGAATGCTTATTTGAAACAACTTATTATTTTCTACAAAAATACTTATCAACTTATTATAAGTCAGAAGAGTTTAACTTCTTTAAAAACTTCTTATTACCGGTTTGAGACCGGTATAAATTGTTTATCCAAACACTAAAAAATGCTTATTACTTATACCACACCGAAATAAGTCAATGTTGTTATAAGCAATCCCAAACATCCTCTAAACAACAATATAAAAAAATTGGATTACAAATAAATTCAGTTGGAAAAAAGCTAAAAACAACCACGTTATTGGTTGCAACTTGCAATTAAAATGAAAAAGGCCGTCGACTTGTTGACCATAAGAGAATGCGTCAATGGCCAATAATGGAAGTATGGTTGCCGGAAAATTAAGTGGTTGTCAATCAACGTACGTACGGCCGACCACATCTGATCGCCCAAATGCAGTTTCATTACGTTTCTACTGTTGATGGAATTTTCCTGCAATATAATATATATATGTATGCATCACCAGAACCACTCGTAAAAAGGGTCCTCCGACCAAACTCCGGGTAGATAAACTACACCGGCGTTCTGGTGCTGATGAGTTTTTACGAAAGTTTCCGACGAGGAATACAGCACCGGTTTGTGAAGCGAAAACTGAAGAAAGTAAGAAAGAGAGTAAATGAATATGAACTCACGTATAGAGAACTCCAATCATAATCTGCCATGGTTTAGCTGGGGAAGAAGTAGAACTGAGTGGTAAAAACTGGTCAAAAGATTGAGAAAACGAATTGAAGGGTGGAGAAACAGAAACTGGTGGGTAGATTTTTAGCTAGGGTTTCGTGAATTGTTGACGAAAATGGTGGAAGTTAATCAAAAGGGTCGATCGGGTTTTTGTTTCTGCAACTGTATGTAATTAAGGGTGAAGATATTGAAAAAGATGACGATGATGATAAGATGAAAGGGTTTTCAGCTGCTGTTTGATAAAGATTTAGGGTTTGAAAATCCCCATGAAAAAGGAGAAGAGCAACCCACATCTTTACAACACTCTAAACCGCGTAAAAAGTTTGGAAGAGAGTAATTTCTCTGAAAGCAGCCCCTTAAACCCACACCAACATGATCTGAGATCAATTGTTTAAGAGTTAGAAACTTTTCAATATATATATATATATATATAT